AAGTATACCTCACATTTGTATAATTTCCTGTGCTTTCATATCAAGCCTACTTTCAGATGCAGGCACCATGCTCTGGTTCAGAGCTGGTAACTTTACTACAGAGTTCTGGGTAACTACCATCTGATCCTGGTGCTCTGCTACTATTAAATTCATTGACAAGTACATATTTTACCTTTTCTGGTTTAACTCTGCCTTCTTTTGGCACAAATCTGGCAAGCTTTTTGCTCCTGATGGGTTAAATGACCATAACATTTTCCTACCTCTGTCTCACAATCTTTCTAATTCAATTTTTAACAATTTTACATTATTTTACATTGAACTTGTTACCTTTAACAGCAGAGAAGCTTTTAAATTTGTTGTAAATTGAAATCACTGTAATCTATAATCCAATAATATGAGTATAGTTTTACTCTGCCTGTACACTACCCACACTACCAATTAGGTTTCATATAACCGGGCTTAAACCCGCCCCAAACCTACCCAAGCTACACAATTCACACTAAAAATAAATACATTCTAAAAATATTTGAAGTTTGCTTTACTTCATTGCATTTTGCAGCCTGTTGCATTTTGTCTTCCACCAATGGTCTAATTTTGTCTTCCACCAATAGCAAAATTCCCACGAGTGTTTTGAGAAACAGAAAAGCTAACTGAATAATCCAGAGCTTTGTGGAATTTGATGTTGCGTTAATAACTGAAAATCACTCTTTTACACATGGAACTGAGGAGTTGTACTCTCCTCAGCCTTACTATTCATGGAAGTCTGGAGAAATTTTAATTCCATGAGGCTACACCTCCAGACAACACACATTTTCAATATTAAAGAAGTGCTTGGAGATAGAGTGTAGAACAAGAAGTATTTATAGAAATTACATAGTAAACCTTTGTTAACTAACACTACATTTCAGAGCATTAGTGTTGATTCCTTTATCAGTTATAAACAAGAAATTAAGCCATGCCTGCATCATTCATAAATAAGCTGTAACACTGTCCATACAGTTGGCATCCTTTAAAAAAGAGATATAAAACAGAGTAAGCCAGTTCCTCTGATTTAATTTAAAAAATAAACTGTTTATGTCCAGCATCAATCCCATTGCCAAAGCTTAGGACAGAACTTTGACAGCAGTACCAGTCTGAGCTACATTCACCCCTGGTGATAAATACAATAAATATGACAGTGGGAACATGCCTGTTAAAAAGAACCACATCTGAACAAAAGCTATGGCAGTCATTCCAACAGCAGTATATCTGCTCCTTTATTTCCAATAACAGGACGTGGCTCGGGACCACTAATTTGCACTACTTGTAAGGTCAGGCGGGTCTGTGAAATGCAATGTTTATATCAACCTAATACAGTTAATATCTTAATACTAGCTCCCAAGTATAAATTAAAAAATATCTTTTAACTATAAACTTTCAAAGGAAATAAACTGGTGAACATCTGAATGGAGAGCCAAATGTCTCCTATACTTGGTGTGACTACTAGAAACAGCAGCTAACGCGTGAAACAGCCACAGTGACGAAAGGTTCATTTTTTTCCCTTTGCCACTCTTCAGAAGAGCAAAAGCTTGAATTCAAAAGCTCTTCATCCAAAAATGTAGATGCCTATAAATTGAGTTAAAAATCTACATTTCCTCCCACCTCCCCCATTTCTATTGCCAACCTTCAGTTGTTCATTAATTAGCCAGGGGTTGTTTTCTAGCTTTATGACTTTCAAAGTTGCTTTTAAATTTTTCTGTCTTCTAGTTAAATTTCTTTCCACAGAAACTTTTCCAAGAAGGAGAAAGGAGGGCAGAAGGGCAGCAAAGGAATAAATGTATATAAACCTCTCAAATTCTTGAACCATGAAAGGAATACACATTTGGTTTATCTCCAACATCTATGACATTCACCTGTTTTAAAAAAAGCAACTGCAAGATTTTCTGATGAAATTGGTATTTTCAGGTTTGCACTCTCTCTTTCAGTGGATATAATATCTCCTATGGTTATGACCTGCACTAAAGACAATGGGAAAGTTGTTATTTCCTTAGGAATGTCAGTTCCCCATACCCTCTGTGACTCAGGACAGGGGAGGGTACCCAGAGCTTCCCCAGCCAGACACTCAGCAGGGCAAGTAAGACTTGACCTTTTCCTGGCAGTAGGAGCTTCACAAACTTTTCTCTGCGCTTGGGCTGCTGCCAAGTGGCCACACACGTTATTTATGCTCTAGTTTGCCCACAGTAAGTTGCTTGCTTGGTTCAGCTCTGCTGACCTAAGGCAAATACAGGGAACACTCCACCTGCAAAAACAGAACAAGACATTGGAGGAAGCCGAAATTTTATTTCTGAAGGTTAGTTAGTATGCTTGGGACTTCAAAGTCTAAAAGAGTTTTCATTTTGTACTGCAAATGTGGAAGAGTTTAGTGTAACATAGTAAGTTCTTTGAGCGCTGCCTGGTAATGTTACTCTAAATAGCCTGCAATCTGACTGGCTAGAGAGGAGAGTTATTCTTTTCAGGTGCACGCCTGTATAAAAAACCTCTGGAGCATGCATCCACCCACAGGAAACTTCCCGTGCCCTGTCACATCAGGTACCCACACAGCTGCTCAGCTAACCTCGCCTGGCATGCTTTTGTGCTCTCTGCTAACTAACAACAGAATTACCTCTGTCTGAATTCTTGTATTTCAGGTCAGCTCTGTTTGCCAACAGAATCCAGCTTTCCTAACCCTTTCTGTTTTGTGAGGATTGACTGTCACTGCTGGTTTTCAGTATTTGGGTCCATTTACCTTGTGGATTCAAATATCATATAAGTTTCTTATATTGATATTCCTAGCATTGGCATTTTCTTTATTTCCTAGCATTTATATTGATTTTTTTTTAATGTAGTGCATGATAACATGAGAAAATTGCATGAACCTTAAGAAACAGAGATGTTACTGTATGGTAAGAGTCTATGGTTAAGCCCTGTCTTGCAAAGAACACACTAATTACATTTCCCATGTGAGCAAATGAAATTGGCTTTTGCCCAAATACTTCAGACTAAACCAGAGTACACTGTGCAACTTTGTGTAGAGATAGAAGAAACATATTTCAGCAGAATTGTGTTTATATTACCACTCAATAATCTACTTTTTTTTTTTTTGCCACATAGCTAGATTTGAAAAGCTCTTTCTGAGCAACGGATTTCAACAGTTTAAGAGGCACAAAGTTTATTATTATAGGGGATAAACTGTGTTACCTTAAGGTTTATCATCATCTTACAATTTGCCCTTAAATGTTTAATTACCTTGTTAATTCTATGTGGTATTGTCAAATAGATATAATTTTATGAATTATTCTTTCTTCCTTAGGTTTTGAAGAAATCAAATGTGATTTTGTAAGTTTTGTTCACAACAGCTTAAGGCTATTACTGAAGTCAATGCTGGTCTTAAAACTCTGAAAAAATTTAGATTATTATTTCCCAACAGGATCAATTTGGAAAAAAACTGGCTGCTCACATTCAGAAAAAGCCAACACTTCCAAAGGGAACAGATTTTACTTGCAACATTGTACCTACTGTCATCACATCTGAAATCATACACAAAAGTGCACAGCCAGAACTTGTTACTAGCCAGATGGAGGGCCTCTGAAGAAAAGAAAATCAAAATCTGCAGAAATCAATTTCCTTTAAAGCACTCTTTTCTGGAACAGTACAGAATTGCTGTCAAGACTGAGCAAATGCAGTGTCAGAGGAATTAGAACCTAAATTCCATCCTTGTGAATAAACAGAGCAGCAATAAGGAATATATCAGGTATCAGTAAAACTGCAATAGTGTCAATATCATGTGCAAATAAACCACTCACACAAGTCAGCAGGCACTCTGCTCCTTAAAAAAGTACCTGCAGGCATTGCTGAACTTCTTGGTCGCTGCCAAACATTTACCCCTTCTGGTCAGGATATCCACAACAGCCTCCTGCAGTATGATGCAACTCAAATTATACAACGCTTAGACTGCAGTGCCTATGGCTGGAGAGAGCAAATATGCAGTCTCAAGAATGAGCAGAATGGATAAATGTTTTCATCATGGATAAAAACATAGCTCACTCCAGCTGTCAGGTTATGTGGGAAGGGTGAGCTTGTACAGCCTCTGGCCAGAGCAAGTTATGGACCATTTTTTTGCTCTTTACTGTGTGTGTATACCTTATCTATTTATCTGTCTGTCTACACACACAAATATATGCTGGTGCTTCACTGAATAAAATTCTAGTCAAGCAAGAAGTGTCACTGACATATTACTCCCCAGGCAAATTTAGATCCAGTCCTGTTCCTGCTTTTATTGATGTTAGTTGGTATCAATCAGTTCCTTTGTAGGCTGGGTGCTGCCCAGGATGAACAATCATTCATAACAAACACAATTCTCCAAAAAGCCCTATGGATTCAAACTTCTCACTGCAATGATTTCCTGACTGCTATCTGCATACTCTGCAGTTTACTACATTTCAGAGTAATTCATTAAGCTGTTCTGCAAGAAAAGGCAGGGAAGAGAGGGCAACTGGATGCAAAGAGACAAAATCAAGAGCACTGGCTGCAGCAAATGAAACAGTTTTATCTCAGGAATGCCAAGTCCCAAGTTTTTTGGAAAACAGTAAATTGCACAGATAAAAAGTCACAGATGTTAAAAGACAGTTATCTTTCTCAGTTATTGCTTCAATTGATAAAAGTAGCTCAATTTTCAGACTGATTAGTGGCATCAATTCAGTGACATAATGCTAAGATTCTGTATAAATGTTAAAATAAACACAATAATAAATATGATAAATGTGATAAAAATTCTGACAGCATTACTGCATTATCAGAAAGTGGTCATAACACTCAGTGGAGTGGGAATGTCACATCTCATCCTGTCCCTTCAACCCATCACTGAAAAAAAACCCCAAAAGACCACCAAAGTCCACCCAAACTACTCATGTCTTCTTCCAGTCATGTCTCATACAAAGAGAGTGCCTGCAAGATTTTACATTAGTTTTCCCCTTCTGTTTCAGCTCTTCTGCCATGATCTCTGCACAGCAGCCATCATTCCCCAACAAAATTCAAAGAGCAATGGACTGCCAATCTGAGGAAGAAGAAACCTGTGAAGAGCAGTGTGACTCTGAGAACTGCACTTGCAGCTCCAAGCATGCAGAATCTGACACAGGTTTAATCCCATTTAAATTCTGCAATTGCTATGGCATGATAGCAGTTCATATTTTGATTTTTGTCACTCTTCAAATAGTAGATCTCACCATGTCACTTTTCCTTTTGACATCCAGTTTTCCCATTTCTCCTTATGTTTGCATATATTATCAGATCAAATCTACAAAAAAATTACTACCTCTATAATTCAGATGTATATTTAAAAAGGTCTCTGAATTTTACTTGGACATCTAAGAATAATTTGTCAATTACAATCAGAGATATGATTATAATATGCATTAATTGGGCTGGCACTGTTGAAGCTGTGGTATTACAAATTTCAACAGGTTAAACTGGTCCAGCAGCTACCAAGGATTCCTGGCAGGTAACAGTTAAAATCCATGCTAGCCAGAGCAAAATTTTTCTTTGCAGTTAAGGTTAAATCTATGCATATCCTGCTAACAGGCTTCCAGCAACAGTACAGTCATTCAGATCGGTGTCCTTGTTTTCAGTGAGATCAGATGGAACAGTTCAGCACAGCTCTTCTGAAAAGCCTCACCCATGAGTCTGCTTGCTATGATGAGACACGCTAGCACAGCCATAGTACTGACTTGATGAACCACGCTATATGTCAACACATACTTAAAGAGCATCTTACAACTCTCCTTCTGTGGAAGGATGCTTAAAAAACAACCACTAAAAAGAGTTAGGTTTTCTTCAATGTAAGAGCTAAATTCTAAATACTTCTTATTTAAAAAGACACTTGATGTTCTAGAACTGTTGACCCCACAAATGCAATCTACAGCACAAACACCTACATACTATCTTCATACTCAGTATGAACTATCTTACCCCAAAATACAAGGTAACTTGGTCCTGAAAGTCTTCTAGCTGTAATTAGCAGAACTTTATATTTGATTTAGTAAATTGCCCACATGAACACTCAGAATGGCAGAAAATGACCATTGTTTCTTTCACTACCTGGTCAGCCAGAGTGTCTGCTTTTGGACAGCAGCTAGTCTTCACTGAAAGGGTGGTCAGGCACTGGAACAGGCTGCCCAGGGAAACGATCAAATCACCATCCCCAGAAGTGTTTAAAAGATGTGTAGATGTGGCACTTGAGAACATGTTTTGGTGATGAACACAGAGGTGCTGGGTTGGTTAAGGGTTAGATTCAACAATCTTCCAGATCTTTCCCAACCTTAATGATTCTGAAATTCAAGGCCAATGGCCTGACAGCTTTCTAGTCCGTATGCCTACACACTCTTTTTGCAAGACACTTTTTACCAAGTTGCATATAAAACCACCAATTTCAACTTTTCTCTCACAGGCTCACCAGTAATTCTCAAAATACTGCAGAACTGGGTTCCTAGAGTTTCACACTACTTCGATAAAGAGCACTATACATACGTTGGCCACCGGATCGTCATTCAGGAGTCCATAGAACACTTTGGAGCTGTGGTATGGCCGGGGGTAAGTACATGACATGGCAGAAAGCTGACAGGACACAAGAGTAAACCATGACAGCAGCACACAAACATTAAGGAAGCTTTCTTAGATGATACTTCCGACAATGGAGGTTTCCCTACGCAGGACAAAGACCTTCAGCAGAAAGCTCTGCCTTAGGGTAATTTGCCAGTTCACACCAAAAGGACATGGCATTTAAGCATTTGTAAATTGGATGCAGGCATTGAAAAAAGTTCAGAAAGGGAACTCAGGAAGAAGCATTCAGCTTCCTTCATGTTTCCAATCAGTCACTGCTAGGAGGTAAACAATCAGCAGTACAAAAAAGGAGGCTGAAAAAGAAAATTGTGAGAGATTAAGTAAAGGAGGTTATAACAATTAAACATGCTTCCTTTAAAGAACAGGCTGGAACAGCTCCATCGCAGTATGGAAAACCACACTTGCAAACAGTTCTTCAATCTCTGCTTCCCCTGCTCTTAAAAACATAATTTCACGTGGACTGAGAAAACTGCCTTTCAGGGAAGAGAGGGTCAACTGATAAAGACATGAAAATTAGGATTTCAAATTTTTTCAGATCCACATTTATTTAAAAAGCTCACAAAAAAATGGCAGACAATTTCAAAACAATAGAAAGAAAGCATTTGTGTGGGTGAAACAGTATCTTATTTTGACATGTCCGATCATCAATTCACACATTAATCAGCTGTCAGAATGCAGATGGTACAACTATCCAAGAAAATGGAGAGGTTGCACAAATTGGACTAGTGATTTATTAGCTGTCAGCTTTCTCAGAGCAGGTAGACAGTGTTGCATTATGAAAAGCACAAGAATTAAAATAGTAACACAACTCTAAAGAAGAGTAGCAAAAGGGGAAGACAGTTTCTTTGGCATCAGTTTATGTTGTTTATAAACAGCCCCTTTATACTCTATTGATAAGATCTTTACAAAGGCCTGATAAACAATATTTCCATACAATGTTGTTTCCTTTTTAAAGTTTATACGATTACCAAGACAAGTGTCAAGTTGGTAAATAACAAATTTTTAATATTTCCTTTGCTAAAAAAAATTGAAACAAAAACAGGTTTTCCAAAAATCTCTGCTGAAGCCTGAATTTACTTGATGATAGCGATAATAAAGCATAACATTTATGATCATAAACCAGAACATTACTTTTTACATATTGTTAAACCTTGTTTGGTGTTCTGACTGTATGGTTCACATTTTACCACTGCCTATCTTGAGCTGTCAGAAGACTCACATAGAAATGTGTAGCAAATTCATATCCCATAAAAGTAAATTAAAAATAAACTGCTTTGATTTTTTTAATATAAAAAACCAGGACATCGCAATTCTTTCCATATTACATTTTTATGTTACACCTTTCAGTGTTTTTCATTGTACTAAAAAAACCAACACCTTTGCATAAAAACATCTAATGAATTTTTGTGCAACTTAGCTGTTACCCTCTTACGGATATGTGTTAACCGTTTTAGGCACTGGCTTTATCTCAATATCTGGAATCAAATCAAGAACAATTCAACCTCAAAGACAAAAAAGTTTTGGAAATTGGTGCTGGAACAGGCTTGCTTTCCATTGTGGCCTGTATCTTAGGTTGGTAAATTTGTATTTTCTTTTAGATTTTCTGTGAAAGATGATCTAGTCCTGCCACTGTCACTTTAAGGAAATGAAACAACAATTGAAATAAACTTCATCACTGGTTGTTTTTTTTAAATGAAAATTATTGTAAAAAACTGTTTTGTTAACTACCCTAGTTACTGGTGAGGGGGAGGCTGGAGAAGTTATGTAGATAAAGTTTTATATATGTTTAACTACTTATCTATGAATTCTGCCATGTTTCAAGTGAAAAGATGAGAGGAAATGGCCTTTAAGTTAGATGTTTAATTTTTTTACTGTAGAGTGGTTTAGGCATTGGAATAAGTTGCCCATGGAGGTGGTGTAGTCACCATCTCTGAAGTTTTCAAGAGGCATCTGGATGTGGGACTTGGGAAAATGGTTTAGAGGTGATTATGGTGGAGCTGGGTTCACAGTTGGAATAGATGCTCTTGAAGGTCTCTTCCGACCTTGATGATTCTGTGAAATGAAACAAATTCATGTTTTCTTTAGGAGCTCACGTTACAGCTACCGATTTGCCTGAAGTTCTTGAAAATCTCTCATATAATATTTCAAGAAATATACAAAACATGAATATGCACAAACCTGAAGTGAGAAAACTGGTATGGGGAGAAGGCCTCAACGAAGATTTTCCTGTATCAACTTACCACTATGATTTCATACTGGCAACTGATGTTGTGTACCATCATGCAGCTCTGGATCCCCTGCTAGCAACAATGGTGTATTTTTGTAAGCCAGGAACAGTATTACTATGGGCCAATAAATTCAGATTTAGTACAGACTATGAATTTTTGGAAAAACTTTCCAATATATTTAACACAACTATTCTAGCAGAATTTCCAGAATCCAATGTCAAGTTGCTTAAAGCCACAGTAAGAGAAAATTAAAGAGAAAACTATCACTATTCTTGATTTAGTGGCAGGACCTCACAGTTTGGAATGCTTTGCAGGATTATGTTGCACCTTATGTGCATTTACATTTGTAAAGTCGCAGTTGTATTTAAGTTTTGCATTGCAAGTATTGAAAAAACTAGCAAGGCAAAAGATACAGCAATTTGTCTCTGGTTGATACATACGACCTGTTCAAACAGACCAATTTCCCTTCACTGAAGGAACAATTTTCATAGCAGTAGTTAGTAACAAGTCTTTAACAAAAAGCATTGATCTTCTGGGCTGCACTGAACTTCTGTTGTTTGTAAGGTGTTTTCCTTCAGCAAGTTTTGTTTATGTACTAATCCAGAAACCAATACAATTTTTAGCTTCAGTATTTTTATTAATTATAAAAATCTTTTAAAGTATCAGAGTGCACATAGTGTTTTTTTGTTCTTCAACTTTGCACGTTTATTCTGCTGTGGTTTATACTTTTAACATTAATAAACATATATGTATAGCTTTACAATATCCGATCAAGATGTAACTGTCTGGCACTTTTATACATGTATCAGTCTGTCCTTGATACTCAGCTTCGCACAGATTTTTGAGTTTGTCTGAAATCACTCCAAAATGAAGATTTACAAGAGCACCTATGCATCAGCAATTCAAAGTTAAACACTGTAACAGTTTGAGAGGTTGAATTTTTCTTAAAAAAAATTAAATGTAAACTCTTGCAAACAATACACGTGTTCCATTATTTTCGTCTAATAAGTAAGAGTTTAGCCACTCTTGAAGTAGCTTTAAGGCCTTCATACAACTGAAATTAAGATCAAACATGTTAAAATTCAGTTTACCGTAAAAAATACAGAACTTTTACAGGTTTGCAGTTAAAAGGAACAGTTCAGAACCTAACATGCATGCAGTAAGTCTTTCCAACCTGATTCCAAATCCTTGGTGTTGGCAGTTCTGGCACATCCATTGCCAGCAATGGGATGCACAATAAGGAAACTCCCTAATGACAGGAGTTAGGTTAACAGGTATTAACTGTACCCAGGTGCCTTTACTGATAAATACACACAATTTAATAATCAGCATTCAGTAATGAAAACATGCGTTCGAATAAAAAGTCAAACTTATCTTTTCCTATCCTGCCCCATATAAAATCATTTTAATTTTACAACTGTTGATTTTCTAGAATACGCAATAATCAGGTGGATACATGACAGGAAGCCAATTCTCAGTGAAAGTTGCACAATGAGTCCATCCAAGCAACTTCATTAGCTGAAGAAAAAAAGCAGACATTAAAAAAAGAGTCATTCTTTTTAACATCTAAATCTAAACAAACACTGCACAGACATCAACATCTTACTAAAAATGTCAATTATAGAAAGATAACAGATCGGAGAACTAGTGATCTTTGAATTCCTTAGTCCTGAAAGGGGGAAACTTCTGCCCCCCCATATGATCCACAGTCTTTTAACTCAATGCACAAAAATCTTGTCCTAGGAATTACCGTAATTTCCATTAATTCTCCACCTATATTCTACTAACAGTAATTATGATTAATAATAGTAAAAAATAATAGTGGTTAAACAGCAACATAACAGGATTTTAAATATGCAGATATCTTTGGCTAAGCTGTCTACCTCCTTTATGTCCCAAAGGAAGTTCCAGAAAGTAAATCTGCTAAAAATGACAGTTACTCACAAACAAGTTATTCTAGAAAAAGAAAGAAGAAATCACTATCAAAAATGGAGGGCAAGCTACCAAAGCCTGGATAAAGATAAAATGTTCCATTTAGTGGTTTCTAAAATGTAAAAAGTATCAAAAATTCCAAAAGACCTATATCTTGCTCTTAAAAGTTTACTCAGCATGAACATAGTCCACTACTTGACCAAATACTGCTTACCTGAATGCAGTTTTTCAAGTTGTCCTTTGTTGGCTTTTCTTCTGCAAGTTTTGTGGCAAACTTGAGACCTCTCCCATACATTTTATTTACCAATGCATGCTTATAGGCAAAAGTCAAAACCTACAATGCAAAGAAAAAAAACCAAAACAAATTAAGTATATCTTACAAGGTTAGACAAGTAATAGCAAATTCTGTTCAGGTAGAAGAAGTAATTAAAAATAAAACATATAAAAGATAGCTTTTTCTTTGCCGTAAAACAGATGATTCACAGTAGTAGTTATAAACATGAACTTCCTAGAGACTATTTCTGACTTCACGAACATATTTGACTTCAGAACATCTTATGTAACACAGATGCCACTATTCTAATTTTTCATTTATCACATTTCTAGCTTCTTTGGATTTTCATTCTCTAGAGGCAACTGTATGGTACATTAAAAAAAAAAATAAAAAAAAAAAAAATCAAGAACCAGGTAGGTATATCTTCAACCCACAGAAGCAAAGACCCAACTGAGAATTTTGATTCCTAGGTAGTCACTAACTTACTGCAGAAAAAAGTATGAATGTACATAGTGAATGATATATATACAGACACAGACAGAGAAATGCACATAATTATAAAAAAGCAATGAAGACAGGTAAGCATGAAGACAAGCCTCAGGTTTTAGGTGAGCTCCTCACTATTGGTAATTTCTTAAGAAGAGATCATAAAAAAAGCTTTCTCTTGATAACACTAACTAAAGAGCCAGCTGACAGTCCTTATCAATGCAGTAACTCACATAAGCAAACAAATGCGTCTCCTTGAGAGCTAATGTGAAATAAATCAGGTTCTTAACACCAAACACTGATGGCATTCAGGGTGCTGCAAGATAGTTCATACCATTTCACCAGCTACAGCGCTAAAAATTAGAGCAATCAAGACATTTATCATTTATTCCCTTCGGAACACTCATAGCAAATAGGTATTTTTTATTTTTTACTGAGAAGTGACATAGCAGTAAAGTTGGTGAATATAGTGGTGTGTCTGTTGTCGGTAGTGTTTATGAAATCTTGTATTAGAGTTTGCCATTCATTTCCCCTCATTCATTACAACATTTGTCCTTCTCTCTAACTCCACAATAAAAGTTAAATTTTCCCACTTAAACTATCCCATTAAGAAAAGCTAACAAAAACTCTTACAGGATGTTCAGAAATATGCTTTGCATTACAGCATAAAAAAATAAATATATCTCAAGAATATAAACATTAAGGAATCAGAGACCTGAATCTTGCAAGGACTGAAGAACCTGTCTAATTTTAGCAGCCTGAACACTTCCATTTAGTGTTAATCACATGCACAAGTCTTTGCAGGATCAATATTTAAAGGACAGGTAAAAAAGAAATAACAAGCTCAATTATCAAGCAAGTAAAGGTGCAATTTTGAAGCTCCAAAATACTATGTCAAGTACTCAGAGTTCCTCATTCTTCTTCTTTTATCTTCAGGTACTTATTTTGCTGTGTTGAAGTATTCACTTAATCTGTTGTAGCTTAAAACACACACATATATGCAACAATGAGCATACAGCACCATTCACAGATACGATTTTCCAAATACTGCTATTGGAAAAACACTTTGCCATGCTGCATTCTCAATCCAATTATTCTGGATATTTTCCTAAAGCAAAACACATTAGCAAACATTTCTGAATAACCTCTCAGTGGATCCATTAGCATTTAGTTGGCTAAACTAAACTTAAAAAAAAAAATCCCTTCTGTAAAAGATGATAGAACCACAAAACAAAAAACAAACAAACCAAAAAAAATATCAAATGAAAAATGCATTGGAGCTCTCAGCAAATATAACATAATCGGAGGCTAACCAGAAATAATGTCACTGCTCTATTAAGAAAGCTCTTACCTGACCCTCTAAGTTTTGAATGGTTATTGAACATCAGTGATAAAGGCAGGAGGAAAGCCACTTGACAGCATTTCTTTCGTAACAGGGCTTCCTAGAGTTTTTGTGGCAAGAAAACAAAGCATTTTACGAAACACCCTTGCTCTGGCCAAATAAAAGTTTGGGTATTTCTAAATGAGAAAAAGGTTCTCTGCTGGACCAAAAGGTTGAAAACAATGCTCCAAGAGTTCTTCATAAAAGACAATTTCTGTTGTAGTGCTTAGAAAAAAACCCTCAATCAACCGTATACAAGTTCAGTAAAACTACTAAAAATTCATTAGCACTTTAAAAGTTAAGAACAATCCATGAATTCCTTTAAGATCAGAACTGGTTTACAAACAAAAGATGTTAGATATTTTACAACTTGTACACATATTGGTCAAATTAAGCCTTATAATTATTGCAAGCTTTATAAGGTCACAGAAGTAAAGATTATGGTTCCTTGGTGTGTGTAAATAAAATGTAAACTGGAATGCTATTAAGATATAAAACAAAAAACAGCTGCTATATGAATGTATAAAACCAGCAAAGAAACCAATTTGTAGTATCCAAAAGCAAATTTCTAGATGAAAGAAGAGGAATTAATTCAAAGTATATTAATATTATTTCATAATTGCAACAAATACAATTTGGGCTAGCTTTTCCATCACAAGTGCTACGGCCCAGAGATTGTACAAAGAGCGATAAAAAGGGTAGTAAGAAAAGGCAACGCGTACTTCTAGGATACTGGGGGGAGGAAAAAAAAGATATCACTGTTAGATACTTTATTCCCCAAGCTAACGGCCTGGAATACTCCATGTGCTAGGAGTCAGACCCATGAAGTGGTTGAACGTCCAACTCCTAATTAGCTGCCTAACTTGCTATTGGCTATAAAGATATTTAGGAGAGTAAAATGCTGAAACGATTTCTCCTAAAACATTTGTAGGGCTGAAATATTTAAAAACCTGAAAACACTCTTAGAAAAGCGTTCGAATCCAGCAATACTAAACTACGTAAAAAACCTGTTTGAGTGTCCTAATGTTGTTACCTATGAAAACAGATTTGTATAATCAATTACTTCATTATTTAAGCATTTGATTAAATATATATCCACATGTACTAATCGTTAAAATACTAGATTAAACAATATAACATATTGCAACTACTTATTAGAAACACTGAGGTTATAATGTTTACAATTCCCAGCAAACAAGCTTTTTCAG